TTCATTTTCTGCAACAATTTTCAAACTCCAACAGCCTCACCATATTATCCACATACCCACTTCAAATTCCACCTCTACGTTCATCATTTTTATGCAAACAACAGTGATGGTGCTGGTGAGAACACTGGTGGCCGTTTGAAGGAAGAGTATTAGGGTTGTCGATGTATAGAAAACAAGGGAAATTGACAGCAAGAGTTCAATGGGTCCCTCTTTTGACTATGCATCGACCGACTTCTTTCTCCTTCCAATTAGTTGAAGGCTAAAACACTTCTTTCCAGTAAGGACTTAGTAACCCATCTAAAATGTCAAACCACTGCAATTCAAGAATAAAATTGAAATGTTCTTTTTTATGGGTCAAATATGATATAAATAAGGTACAAACCTTAATGACATGGTGGTAGATTTCGTTTAGAGTGAAGGAGAATTGAAAACACGAGTTGTTTGAGATTTGTGGTGGCCGTGGCGGTGCAGCAGCATGTCAGCAGTTGATTTTTTTATTTTTGGGATGAGATGGTATGGTGTGGTGTGGTGTGGTGTGGGGTGGGTGAGGTGAGGTGAGGTGAGGTGAAGAAGATAGATAATAAACAATTTTATTTTATTTTATTTTTATTTGGTTTTAATTATTTTAAGGGATATATAGGAATAAATAGTAAAGTTACTATTTTACCATTTTTAAATTTGGTCAAAATCAACTTGTCTGGTTAACTAACAATCAAATGGATGAGTTTCAACTATTTGGACCCTAAGTACATATTTTTGAAATGTTTGGAACTGTGTATGACACAAAGTGAATGTTATGATGAAATTTACAAAAAAGTGAAAGGTTAGGGATCACAGCTGCAATTTTCCCCTATCTGATTCTATGAACTTGGTTTCCATAGACAAATTAGGCTTATGCCTAAAGCTTTCAATTAAGCACATTTTTTTCACGGAAGTCCCATAGTTCCACATTATTTTCACCCATTGCAAAAATCATCCCTATCATTTTAAATTTGGTATTTACACCCTCATTTCAATCTTTTCTTACGGAGTTGGTCCTTTTAGCATCATTTCATCAATTCTTTCCGTCAAATATATTGGTGTAAAACGTTCCTATTGTTTGCTTTCATTATGCAAAATGTTCTCATTGTTTGCCTTCATTATGCAAAAGATCATCATCATCTATTTTCTCTATTAAAACATTGTAAAATAATTAATTTACCATCCTCTTAAATAGACAAATAGAACATAAAGAAATATAATGAAATAAATATTTTTTTTTCTATTTTTAATTCTTTTCTTTTCTTACTTTTTTTAAATTTTTAATTATTTTGGTGGGTTAGGGTGGGGAAGGTGTGTGTGGGGTTAATTGGGAAGATGAAATATTTTTATTATTTTATTATATTTTAAATTGTCTTACGTAAGATTCATTTGTGTTTTTTAAATAAAAAAATTAGAACTCCAACAGCAATTATTTGTTATTTATTTATTTCTTTAAATAGGAGGGTAAATTAATGATTTTACAATACTTTAATTGAGAAAATAAACGATAAAGATCTTTTGTACAATGAAAGCAAATGATATGGATGTGTTGCAACATTTATCCATATTTGACAGAAGGAGACAAAAACGACCAACTCCATAATAAAATATTGAAATTATGGTGCAATTGTCAAATTTGAAATGATAGGGACAATTTGTGCTAATTACCCTAATTATTAACTCTTTGGACTGTTTCCACATTCCATTATTGAAAATCATATACGCAATGCAATTATAATGAAATGTTAGGACCAACTTGCTCATTTTTAAAGAAATCATCTTATTACACTAAAGCAATAGATTCAGATCCATGATGCATTTTTCCTAAATTAATTTTATTCTGAAGCCAGAATTCTTGAATTTATGACGAACAAGTAATTACAAAAACCTATGTATACAATGGGAATCAAACCACCTCTGCTTCAGTCAGGCAGGTAGAGATTGTAATACTTCCACCTGGAAACTTATGAGTAGGTTTTAGCTCGCGCCCCTTTCTTCTTTAAACAGGACAAACAGATCTTGATATTGGATGACTTCTGTACAAGTGATTTAACTCAATTCATACAACTTCAAGATACAGAAATGGATATAAAGACTGCTATTTATACATTTCTTTACATTTTTGTAGACTCAGAATTCATTAATACGGAACTTGTTTGTATACATATATTCTACAACAAGGGATGGCCACACTTCTAAAAGTGAGATCTTCACATATATCTGTGATAAAGTACCAAACCCAAGGGAAACCCATATATAGCGAGGGTAAAACGCTCTCAAAAAATGTGGTCAAGCCTTGAGTTTGCTCTCTAATGGTCACCAGTTCGAGTCCCCTAAGGACCACTGAGGTGAGTACTCGGCCGTAAATTTCAGGGTCCAGTGGGATTAGTTGAGATACGCTCAAACTGGCTCGAACATCCACGATTATTAAAAAAAACGCTCTCAAAAACAAGAAGATGGGGCCTAAAAATACAAAATTTTAACTAATTATCCTACATGTTCAATGCTGATTTTAGCTTTTATTACGTCTGCACCATTCCAGAACTTGATCTGCAGGGGAACGAATTTGGTCAGAACCAATAAGTACAAAACCCAAGTAAGGTGAGGAGGAAAAGCTCTCAAATTTGGGCTCAAGAGGTTGGGGTTTCACATTTTACCTCTAATTGTCTACATATTCAATGCCAGCTTCAGCTTCCCTTAATTCTGCATCTTTAACAAGTGGTCACAGAGCTCCAGAAGTTGATCTGCAAGGGGAGGAATACCTGGGTTCCACCGATCATTGCACCGATGAGCATTGTACGCAATCTGATACATATCGTGCCTGAACTCTTCTCGGCTCTTGTACTCCAACCTCCTCACTTTGTCCCTCATTTTGGACAAATCCATAGGGTGTTCAATGATATCAAAATAGTCAGGAGCTTCCTTCTTCGACACTGGCTTTTGAAAGAGGTAGGAAAGCTCTTTCCTGTCTTTAAGAGTTCCCACAATGTCTTCCAATATGTTTGACAAACCAACCTGCAGAACAAGGAAAAACAATAGATAAAAGAAAAAAAATCAGTAAGTGCTAACAAGTTTGTTGATTGAAAGGATATCAAATCCAAATCTTGTCCACAGTTCATTGTTTTACCATCCTCTACATTCTAATAGTCTGGCTGGACCTTCCATATTTTGTAGACTACGGTGGGTGAAACAATGCTTAGCCCATGCTCAATTTGGCACTTTTAGCCTTCTTAAGTTTCATCTAATAAAGTGAGACTGAGTATTAAGTCTAGAAGCAGAGTATTTACTATAATTTTGAATAACATGCACGCAATGGTATTTAAATCAGAAATTAAACCTTCTCAGGTTTTACTTCATCAAGAGCAAAATGTAGAAGACTTGACTTGAGCAATTCAGAAACTGCAGTAGTAGAATTAGCAAAATATAATACCGATGGTGCTTATAATTGGTCCTGGCAAGGGTTACTGTTGAAAGTTGCAGTTGCGCAAAACATGAAGAAAGACAAATAAAAAGTGTAAACATCAATTACCTCCCCTACACGTTGACGCTTAGTGGGTGGGGGCATTCTCAGCAGTGTACCTTCCAGACTCGACTGCAGGCCTCCTCCACCCTATTCCCTCTCTTTCTGGTATTCTTCTATCGCTTCTTCTATGAGGAATGTCGTGTAAGTAACCAACCCTTATCTTAGGCCTTTCTTCCATTTTTTTTCTTTCTCTTAGCCTTTTGCCGTTCTTCCCGTTCTCTTCTTATGGTTTCTTGATACCTTAACTCGGCTAACTCCTCTTTCTCTTCAAACAACGTCATTTTTTCATCGTACACCCTTCTGGCTCTTTCTTCTTTGTGCCTCTCTGCAGTTATACTTTTCTCTTCTTCTTCCCACCATCGCATATCCTCTCCACTTCTCATCCTTGATGTCTCTTCGGAGAGATATCAGCTTTCATGTTTTCTATGCTTATCAAGACTTGACAATTCAGCAACTTTCTTCATTTTCCAGTAATCTTGGCCAAAGCTTCCTTCCTAGCTAATTTCATCCACACTGATAATCTCCTTCGATTGTTTAATTATAATTTTCATGTGAGGCTGTTCTCTCTCAACCTCCATTGGCGGCCTTATCAATAGACGGCTTATGTGATTCAACCTGAACATCTTCGGGTTTCGTCTTGTTTGAAAAAATTACCTTACTTACTTTGACAGCAGCATTATGTCCTGATTCAGCATCAGATTTAACTGGTTTGTCAGAAATCTGTGGGGCCACAGGAGCGAGTTTATCTGGTGGCTTGTCCATTGACCCACATTTGACCTTCAGAGTTTATTGCTTTTGCAGTAGGCCTATCGTCTTCCTTTGCTTTCTACCACAGCAATTTTTGTCGCACTTCTGTACGAGCTTTTTTGGAACAATTTTCTGTGGGTTCAGCTCGATTTGATCAACATAATTAGGTTTCACAAGTGCCTTATCAGGATCCATGCTTTCGACTTATGTTTCTGAATCTTCCCCGTACTTGGGGCAGTTCTTGTTGGTCCTTATATACAATTGCCAGGAAAAGAAGAAAATTTTGTGAATAGAAACATACCTGCCCACAAGCCCCACATACAAAACTCTCTCTTGCTGATTTCTTTTCCTTGATTATCTGTTTTTCAAGCAGCATCGGTGTCATAGATGGTTCCATGCAAAAAATGAAAAAATAAAATAAATAAAACGTCCACAACACAACAGGGGATTGAAAAGATGGTATGTATATTCACAATCATCTCCACCAATAAGACCTCAAAAATTGTGGTATACTTAAGTGGAAAAGAGGATAGTGCTAAGGGGAAAAAAAAATATCTTTTTTATTGTAGTATCCAATACTGCATAGCAAATATATACTTTATGCACAACAGAAGGAGACTTGCCTTCGTTCCATCCCCCAATATTTCAACTTTTTTATGGAGTAATCCCATTTTTTCGATGTCATTCTTTATCTTTGGTTTTACCTTTGCCGATAGGTCCTTTCTAGCAGAAAAGTTATCACTCTGCACCCACCAATGAAAATTAGAATTATTAGAGTTTTACACATAGCAAACTAAACAGACAAAAAAATACAGTTTTGGACCTCTTATTTATTTTTGGTACTAATTTCTTTCAATGCATAGGATCCCTCGGACTTGATGATTTGCTTAACAGCTGCAATGTTTTTCTTAATTCGTTCACTGCTTTCAGGACCAAACTTCAATTTTGAGGCCAGTCCAACTTGCTCCTCAACAGCTCGTTCCTTTTTCTTCTTTTTCCATTCATCTACAGATAATATTA